GACAAAGGTCTCCCCGGTCCTCCTCGGGGCTGGCGTTCGTTCGGCTCCCCTCGGACGAGCCCCTGTGGGGCCACTCGCCGGGGCCGCATCAGGGCGGGCACAGCCACCCGGCCAGGGTCCACTTGCTTACGGCCGCCTCCTGGGTGCTTCTCGCCGGCCCTTTGCGAGCTAGAGGGGTCGCCCTTTCGCGCTGGGGACCCCGACGCTCTACGCAGTTGGGAGGCTCGAGGCAGCCCCGCGACCCTGCGCCTGCACCGCCAGAGCGCCTGGAGCTTTTGGAGGTGGTCCTCGATATCCATCCCGCCGCGTGCCGGGGCCCTTGTCCCCGCACGTGTGGCCAGAAGCCTCCTTTCCCCGGGCTGCCGCGCGGGGGAAACCGGGGCTCCCTGGGCTGGGTGGGCCCGGATTCCCTTCGGGTGGGCTGCGACCTTGGCTCCGCTCCGTGCCCTCCAGAATGGTTTCCTGTTCGCACCTGGACGCCTCCCTTCCTCCTTTCTTTCCTGCCAGCAGAAGATAGATCGCTTGCATTCCCGAGGGAGGGGGGAAACTGTAGTTTACAAGTGTTAGTTGAGGTCATTCATGGCCACGAAATTTTCTGTTTTCATCTGCCTCTGACCTGTGAATATTTAAAATGTGTCTTTTGACCAGTTGTAAAAGGGGGTTGTACGGTTTATGTTGCTCTAAGTGTCCCCGAATGGCCTGTCGTCCACTCACCAGTCAAGTTGTAAGCAGTTGAAGCATTTGGGTTTCTGTTCATCCTTGTTAGAGTTGTAAGTAGACATGCGTGACTTGACAGCCTCCTTTTGCGGCCACGGTGCTTTTCATGAAGGCATCATTTGATATCGTTAGAGAGGTTTGAGAAGAAATCCTCTCTTCTGGAAGTGATAGGTTCAGTCAAGCTTTCTAAATAAAAGGCATCTGGTCTGTGAGTTCTGTGGAAAAGCAAAGCAAGGATCCTTCATAGAAAAACCACAAATTTTAAAAAAAGAGGATGTTCTGCAGGATCATTTTTCTAAAGAACTGAGCTTTTGGATTCACTCCTTCAGGACTGGTTGGTGAGAATGTTGCCACTCAAACACCTACTGTGCTAGGGTTATTCAGGAAATTCAGATAACAGAAACCCTTCTTTGGTTAGATTAATCTGTTTCTCCCTTTTATGAAGGTATGGTTTTTCTCAATTGTAAGTCATTTGGGGTAAATGAGCCATGAAATGGAAGGTCTTGGAACACCCTAATTTTATTGAGCACCTCTTAGGTGATTCTGTGATCATGTGTGCAAGTTAGGGCCCCTGTACTCAACAATGCCTTTACTGAGCTAAATGTGTCCAGTGTCTTCTTTTTTTTCCCCAAGTTAAAGAATGTGAACTCCACTGTTTCCATAGCTTTATTATACATTATCCTTCGACCCGGTGTAGGGAGAGGATCCTGCACCTTAAATTGATCCCAATGTTGCAGATGTACTTGAGATTCCCTACTAGCAAGATTTCCACAAGGCCCAACATAAAACCAACTCACCAGACCTCTGATTATACAGGAAATCTTGCAGAATGGAGGGGGGAAAAACAAAGAAAGCTGGCTTTTGGGCTTCTCTCTCCAGTTCCATGTAGTGGAAAGTTGCTCTGGTCTGAGTCCTTGTTCCTTAGGTTTGATAGTTTCATAGTGTGGTCATCAGCCTGATCTGTGTGATCAGTTCAGAGCTAGGGGGCCCATGGCTGTGTCAGAAACATTTGTTTACGATGTTGACAAGCTTAAAACCCACTCAGTCATAACTGGGAACACCAGTTCCTCATGGGCAATGTGCAAAAACCATGTTTGTACTAAAGGATTAAAAATATTAACTCACTTGGCAAGTTTAAAGCAGGTTTTGTGTGATCAAGGAGAAGTTCGATTTTACCACAGGTCAGGACCATGTACGTCTCCTTTTCTCTAAGTCCTTGTCTCTGGCTTTGCTTATTCTTCTGATTTTTCCAGTGTTGAGGAGGAAAGGGGAGTGAGGTCAGGAATATGCGATTTGTAGCAACAACTCATCAGGTCTCTTTCTTTTCCCCTCGACTACTGGCTTGGCCCAGGGTGTGTCTATGAAGCAGAGACACTAAGGGCTTTTTCCAGGAACTTTGAAACTAGAATCCCCTTGGGGCTGTGTCTGACACATAGTAGGTACTCTGGAGACCTATAGGCATTTTCCCCCCTTGTTTAGACAGTTTCTGAAAACCAGGTGGTATTTTCTTATTTAAAATATTCTCATTGGAGGGCTTATCCAGTGTCTTGTCTCCCAGGAACTTCTAATTCTGACTTCGTAAGACGGGCAGTTACACAGCAGAGTAAAGCCCCAGCTTCTGAATATGGGAGCACAGATTGTTCTTTCTCTCCCATGGGAGACCATGAAAGTACGCTGGCCTTCAATCTCCCAGCTCTTGTTAGCATGACTGATATGCGTGTTAGTGATCTCTTTGGGAATGCGGTTGTAGAAGTGCCGCTTGGGATGGCTGTCATACATCTTATTTAATAAAAGGATGCAGCCCCCTTGGATGCTTCCAGGAAGGAAAACTACAACGTCTTTGTACCTCTATGATATTCCAGTATCTCTGCTCAGTTCCACAATCACCGTTCTGCTCAGAAAGGTGGGCAGTAGCTAACAAAATCAGGCCTGTTAAAGAGTATGACCCACAAATGTGCCCTGGGCACATTGCAGGAAATTTTTTCCCTGCTATTTTTATTTTGTCCGGGTAATGAAGCTGAGAAGAGGAGTTTTTATTTTTTAATTTTTCCCTTTCTCCTCTCCTTTATAATAACCTCATTTAATTTTGTTGTCTTTGTCAATGTGTTAAGGCATTCTCTTCTGAAAATTTTTTTTTCTTTTGAGAATTTCTTTTGACAGTCAATAGAATAAAAACCAGGGACTTTTCCTCCATGACTACACAAAAGCAATTAAGATGGCCAGGTTGTAGATCCCAGGATTTTAATTAGTGTCAGGAAAAACCTTCCA